AAGAGGCAGTAGCTCGTCTCAGGGGAATAAGGGAAATGCCAAGTTCTTCACATTGTCTCATTTCCAAGGACAGACACCTGATGGGAATCAGGACAGAGAAGCCAAAAAAATTAAAGTTCACTTATGGCATCATTCACTCCCGATATGGAAAAGAAGGATAAAAATACTTCCCTGTCTCGGTTGGTTGTTGTAAGACTCAGTGGTTGTACAGAGCAGACATACGCAGTAGTAAGACTTTGAAGTGGCTGATTGCCACCGTGTTTTGCTGAAGCACAAACTTAATAATTTCTTTTGTTCTTATCCTCTCTTTGTGACAAGAAACATTTGCCACCATCAGTGAAATATGTCTAGTTAAGGTGCTGTTGTACCATCTTCAGAAAAATAGCCAAAACCAGTTCAATCTGATGTTATTTTCCTCTTCTTGCCTTCTAGCAATACTTTTTTTGAAGTCAAATCCATATCCAACCAAGTATGGAAGTTTCAAAGATACCAGCTAATCATGACATTTCATGAAAGACCTGTTCTCCCACCGCCTCTGATCATTTTCAGCCATATGACTATGATATTCCAACACCTCTGCTGCAGATGGCGGAAGCATGAAAGCGATCCAGATGAGAGAGACTATGGATTAAGTAAGCCTTAGACAATTTACAGAGTGGGACTTTCCAATGCCCTTGGTAATATCTAGTGTTTCACAGGAATGAAGGCTAGGTCCAGCACCTTGATAACCTTTCCAGAAGAGAACTACTTTTAACTACAAAAAATCTTACCTGAATCAATTAGTTTTACCTGCATTGCCCAACCCTTAGTTCTCCTCAGGGCGTTAATGAGGCTATGTTTTTCGGGGATTTTTTGGTGGTTGTTCCCCCAGTTTGTTCCTTCAAAGCAAAGGGTTTTGTTCTGCTGTTGCTAGAGGTCTGTTATTGCTGGAATTCTTCTTATAGTCCATTGCACTTCCACATCTCAGTTTTATTTCTGAAAATACAGAGCACGCGTTCCTACTTTTTCAGCAAATAGCACATACTTCCCCTCAACACACTTTTTGCCTAGATAAGCTGAGAGATGGTGAGAAGTAATTATTTTGCAGACACATGTTCTCTCCTTGACACTGACTCAAACTGGAGGAGTAGTTTCTCCAGATGCCTTAATATGAACTCCCATAAGCATGCTGGAAAACCTGTCAGATTATTTTGATATCACTTTCTCCATCTAGTTCTTCAAAGTATAAGATCTTCACCTCCCCAATGTATATGCCAGAGGCAGGGAGCTAAGGCATGTGCGTTTCTTCCCGACATTAGCCCATGCCACAGACCATTTCTCTACGAGGAAGGAGCTGGAGCCATGTGGTGGCACTGGAGATGCAAGCACAACCAGACTGCCCTCCTCCCATTCACATCTCCTGTGGTTCCTGCAGATAGCAGCTCTTTGTCATGTCAAATAGACCTTCTGTACTCTCAGACTCCTTTCCTAGCAGTCTGCTAATTTGATTATATTTGTATTAGGTTACAGGTGGGCTTTGGCTCCCACTGTCTCTCCAAAACCTGACCAGCAGCTGTCTTTAGATCTCATGCAATCAAAACACATTCATGTTTGCTCAGCATTTGCCTGCTTAAGTGTTTCTGTCTCCAGAATCACATACAATTGAAGCCACTAATTTGGTAATTAGCTGCATCTATCTGCTTTCATACCAAAATGCCAGATAAATTTGAAGACTGCTTTTGAAATTTTAGTCCATGAATTCGACAATAAGAAGAATGTAGTTAATTTCACATGCTAATCTTTGCCAAATTCAGGTTTTTGCATTGTTTCCACAGAACTTTTCATAACTGAGGATGAACTGAAAAAAGTCCATGATTTTGAAGAGCAGTGCATAGAAGAATATTTTAGAGAAAAGGATGACAGATTCAATTCCTCCAATGATGAAAGAATCCGTGTCACTTCAGAAAGGTGCATTTTTTTGGTTTGTTCCCTCATAAGTTGTTCTGGAAATGTGTTTCTGTTGCCATTCTCACTCTTCTTTTTTTTCTTTCTTGAAAAGGGAAATATTTTAGATATTTTTTAATGTCTTAACTAAAAAGTAGAGTGGTAAAAGATGGTGAATTTTTTTCTTTTTTTTCTTTTTGTTAAAGCAGGCATTCCTCAAAGTTTTGAAAACATGAATCTTTTAACCAGTTGCATTAGAACACAACTGTTGTAGTGAGAAACACAAATTATTCTTGCATTTCAGCTTTTAAAGCAGAACTTTAGGGTACAAGTGATCAGAACACAATGGGAGAGTACATGAGAGTTCCTCAGTGAAAACTACAGCTTTAGCACTGAGCTGGTAGCCATTCAGATAAAGAGCAAGCCTTGTTTCAGGATGGCCTTGCTAGGTAAGCTAGTTTCATTGAGAGCAACAGGGATCTTCACCTACAGCAATGAAATGCACAGAGGATTAAGGTAATACGTTAATTTAGTGGAAGACGCCAGTCTTCAAATTCATCAGTTGTAAAAATTCATAAATCTGTTCATCTGCTGTGGTGCTTATAGGCTTTTATCACACAGCAGCTGAGCAACAGAGTTAAATTTTGAGGACCAAGTTTGTTGCTTGATTCATAGCACTGTTACCGATAAATACTTTAGGGCAATATCCTGGCAGATATTCATAAAACTTATGAACCACTGAATACTCCATTCCCTGAATGCTCCACTTTAACTTGAATAACAGAGGTCAGGTGAGTTGTCATTGTAATCGATTACACAAATATAACACTCTTCTCCTTATACATAATCTTCTAGCACTGTCCCTGCTGCAGGTATGCCTAAAATATGTTTTCTGTAGGCAAGGAAACATGCTTTTAATTTGGTTTTGAAATAAATCTATCCCAGAGCAGGATTAGCAGATATAATATCCTTTAATCATCTGCACTACCGAAAACAGCACTCCTAAAACACATATTGTAGAAATGGATATTAGAGGGAAAGTATGGTAAGTCATGGAATGGCTTCCCCATAAAGAATGGTCAAGCAATCCAGCCCTACTTGGTCTGGGAGAGACAAATGAGGAATGAAATTATAGAGGTCTATATAATTATGAGTGCAAGGAGAGGGTGAGGAGAAATCAATTGTTAGCTGTCTCTCCCAGAACAAGATATGGGTGAGCAACAGATTAATCCAGCAGGAGCCCAGGTTCAAAATAAACAAAAATAGGTGACTTTTTCATGCAGTAAGTAGCGGAACAGAGCAAATTCTTGAAAGCTGATTAGGTCTAAAAGAAGCTGAGGATGTCAGGTAAAAGTCTACAGCAGTTCAATTGAAGATGAGACAAGCTTATGGAAGAGAAGTCCATTAGGGACTGCTAAATATATAGAGATCATATTGAGCCCATGAAGTTCCTGAGCAGAAAATATTTAGAGACTGGAGAATGTAAGGGGGAAAGAATTACATATGTTTCAAAGTAAGATAGTGGGCTAAATTGGTCTGTGGTCCAGCTGAGTACCTGTTTTTCTTGTGTCCTGATAGTCGAGTAGTCACAGAAATAACCTGAAAATCATAGAGGCAGGTGTAAATCTCTCTTCAGGCATAGCTTTCCTTTTGGTGGCCAAGGAAAGAAGAGGTATGTTTGAAGCCTCTGTACATAAGAAGTAATCCAGCTAGGACGTCCCCTACATTAGGCAAGTGCTCTAAGTCCTTGAAAATGAATATGTAACAGTCTGCCTTTGCACTGTTTGCTGGCTCTGTTTTATAGG